CTTGTTACTAAAATAGAAGTTCCAGTTAAGTAACCATGAGAGAACTACTCTACACAATCTTAGAGTTAGAAGGATGATATAGCAGTAATTCTACTTGTGTTTTTTGCCCTGGTTTGAAAAAAGCAGTTTGTCAAAATCAAAACATGAAGCAAAGCAACTGGTGAAATGGTTGAAAGTGATAAGGCTTGCAAGAATTGCAAAGAGAAGTTTGAAAGTGATGAGTTGCCTAAATGTAGTTGTGGAAGGCTAAAGTCTAGATACACTTGTGATTGTAAAGAAGAGGAAAATGAAAAAGAACTTCCTCTTTTGCCTCATCAAAATGGGGGAATGGCACTTTTTGTGAAACACATATAAATGGTTTGAGGGAAGAGAAAAATCGACTGAGGAAGTAGAAACCCATTTAGAGGCTTCGGGAGTGGCTGAGGATTGGCATAAAAGACAAAAACAAGAGTTATTGGATAGAATTAAGCATTTAGAAGAGGAAAATAAGCAATTAAAAGAGTTAACTCCCCATAAATTCGAATTTTATAATTTTAAAAATTGGGCTAGAATTAATAAAAGAAATCAATGATTTAAAATTTCAATTAACCCAATTACAACAGCAAAATGGTCAATTAGTTGCTCAAATTGAAGTTAAGGAGACTAAAAGATGATCTTGATTGAAAATAAAAGGTAATTAAAAAAATTAACAAAGTTGAAAAAAAGTAATTATATGGTTTATCAAGTTATTCTGTCATTTTTCTTTTTTTTCTTGATTCTTTACTAGAATTCTCTAATATTCTTTTGAAAACTCTTTCCTCTTTGATAAATTTCATAGGTAATCCTTTCTTTGTTTAAATATGTTTGCAAAGATTTGATATATGCTAATTTAAAAATGTAAGGAGCAATTTTTTCACCTTGTTCTTTCTTCAAAATACTTCTGATAGTACTATAATTCTTGGGTTCCATTGTAGATCTGATGTAAATTAATTTCATATTAACTATTTTTGTCTAGACAAAGACCATGATCACATTATATTGATAATACAATTATGATGTTAGACAAACATATTGATCCCTGAAATTCTTGGTAATACCAATGTTCACTTTGTCTGGTTTTGTTACAGCATGCCCCATATAAAAACATCAATTCAGGCAAAGAAATTCAAATAACAAAACCTTCTAATAATCACCATTAAACATAATTTTAATAAATATTTTCAATATTTTCAACACTTTCAATAGTGAACTTTTTTGTGGATTTTTAATTGGACTTGTGCTTGGTTTCTTACTTCACTATAAAGCCTGTAAAAAATCAATTTTATACTTTTGGTCAAAAAATAGATGAAATAACCAATAAAATAGAATTGAGAAAAAGCAAATATCAAAATAAATCAAACTTAATGATAAAAAATATTCACAAGAAATAGAAAATTTATGAAAGGATTTCAAAAAATTATTTTACAAAAAAATTGGTTGAATCTGATTTTTCCCTTAATGAAAAATTAGTCAATTATTTCAAGAGGGAAAAGGAGTTTCTACTTATTTATCATAAATTTAATACAATTAATAACAGCTGTCCTGTGATGTGTTTTATTTGATTCATTTTCTTGTTGATTTTGAATTAATTCTTTTTTTTGATTGGCCAAAAAAATGTTCAATGTCATAAGTCATATGACCAGTCACTGCTATGTTGTGTGTAACATCGAACAAAAATCCACCATATAAAATAATATTAGCAAAATTTTAATATTAAAATTCGATATAATTAAAAAGCAAGATGAAGAATAAATAGGTTGAATTCTAATAATTGAATTTTTTTATTGACAGATTAATCGAGTAAAAATTTTTTGGCCAGTCTAATTTCTATTCCTAATGTTAACAACTGCCACTTACGTTGGTCTCGATGACCCCAAAAGGCAAAACATTGTAGTGTGAAATTTTGCTGCATTGACTGAAATTCATCAAAATGATTTGAATCCCATCAAGGGTGTTTGAGGAACATTTTCTTAGATTGTTAGAAGGAAAAAATTATAAATTGTTAATTATTAAATAAAATGTTTAGTCAATGATTTGTGTGCTACAAGTTTCAAATTTTTTTTTCTTGAAAAAATGTCGAATGTTTCTCCATCTATCAAAGCGTCAACATTAAAATTCGAACCAATAATACTGGAAAATAATAATGCCAAACAATCAATCTCACGAATGTAAATTTTCGCATTTATATATATATATATTCAACTTGATTTAAATTGAATTTGCGCCGTTTTTTCTGATTTTATATATAGACAAAATAAACAGCCAGAGCCATTATTAATTGATATAGTCTCGTATGTAAATAAATAATGTTTAAAATGAAATTTTTTAAAGTGAAAATTCTCAATCAACTATCATCAATTTGACAGCGATTCTCAAGAACAAGAGATAAAACAATCCATTACAAATATAACTGAAGAAAATGCTTCGACTTCAAAAAATTTAAATAAGTCTACAGTCCCAAGTTTTTACGATGAAGGTTATTCAAATGTCGTTGCTGTATTTGTGGTTCGGTTTGATACAAGAAAAGGAAATATCATTGAATGGCAATATCCTCAAGGTATTTATTTATAAGCTATGAATAATGAAAATACGGAAGTTTTAACTTTCTTTTCCTCTGTAATTATATTAATTAATTAAATCGAATGAAATAGATGTTGATTTGAATGGCATAGAATTTCAAGCAATACCTAGCGGATTACATGCTGTTTCACAAGATATAATGTAATTAAATAAAATTTTTATGAGTGTACATATATGTGTATTGTATATACATTTCTGATCTAAATTGCTTTTTAAGATATTTTACTAGGCCACCGTTATATGGATTAAGCGTATTTAAAAATGAACCAACATCTGATCAATCTCATGACCGTGGTGCTCGCATGGCTGCTGTGGGAATATTAGTAACTCCAACACATGAAACTGGCCTTTGTGGTCGACCATGGTCACAATTAGAGTTTTTACAAAATGAGATCGGGTACTTGTTTTTATAGTAAACAATAAAAAAATTTTCCTTTCATAGTTATTAATTATATATATAATATTTTAATAATAGACGGCATGTTCATCAAACAGATGATTATTCAAACCTTATACAGTTTTTTGAAAAACGTGGCATGCAATTGAATTATTCAAATGATGACCCATTATCTATAGATTCTGAGAATAGTTTGCAACATTCAAGAAGACGTACCTTAACAACATCAAGTGGTCGAACATCATTTATAAGGAATAGATGCTTTTCTGCTTCACAAATGAGTACAACAAGTTATCAAGCGTCGTTATCAGTAAGTTCATCATCATCATTATTATTTATTATTAAATGATTAAAATAATGGAATTACATATATACACTATACACGCACTAAATCATTAAAAAAACAAATTTCCCATAATAAGCCGTTACACCCCGCAAATCATTTCCAGGACTTTGTTCGTGCTCTAGGACCTAATATCTTTTTATTATGGAAAGCTGCTTTACTTAAAAAACGGATCCTGTTCTATTCGACCCCCCCAATAGGGAACGCTTGTTATTCCGGTATTGTTTTTTTTTAATTTGTTGCATTATTAATTGGACTATATATAAATATACATGCAAACATATGTATATTTCTTATTATTTAATTAATAATCTTAATAATAGTCTATGGAACATGTTTACTTGCAAATATTCCCTCTGCAATTACATGGACATTTAAGAATAAAGTTGAAAAAATCAAGCCATTGTTTTGTGTAGGTGTAAGTGATATTCCGATGATTGAGGTTATTGAAAGTGGTTATGTCGCATGTAAGTTAGCTTGCTTAAACTTCTTTTGTTTTTTTAATATAAAGTTGACAATCATTAATCAACAATTTTTAAATTCGCTATAGGCACAACTGATCAAATACTTCAAGATAAAAGCAATCTTTATGATTTATTAATTAATTTTCCAAGTTGTAGTAATTCAAAATCTCACCCAAACTTAATTGCATCACCTGAATCTTTTTTATCAACTAAAATAAATTCTGCTGATATTAGGCGTTACAGAGTATTGTTAAAGATGTTAGCATCATACGGTGAAAATAATCTTGAAGTTGAGGAGGATGGCGGAGCAATGACAGATACTTGGTGTAAAATAATGTTTGGTGGTTGGTTTTGGTGGTATGGCAGGGAAGGTTATAAAAGAATCAATGAAGATTATTTCATAGACGAAGGAGGAATCCTGTTAAACAGTCAGGAAGATTTATCTAACACAGCAACGACGAACAGTTCACCTAATCTTGATGTGTTAAAGGACATACCAAACATTGAAGTTGAATTAATAAGGTGAAGAAAGAGTTTATTGTTAATACATCACAACATCGAATTGTCACAACAATCAATAATGTTAAATAATTTTTTTTTATACAGATTTTTTCAAGCATTAACCACAAATATTTTTAATACTTTGCGTACGTTGATCACATCATTTGAACAAAACGTAAATGAGGAAACAATCTATTTGTATCCAAACCACATTATTCAACTTGGATTAGATCCACATGACGACGGAGTTTTTGTTGAAGGATTGGCAAAGATGTATTTTGGCAAAAAGGTTGAAGTGATTGGAAAGGATGGAAACTGTTTGAGCCATTCATGTAATAATCTATGTTCGGCTTTGGAGGATGTATATTGTTGTTTTCGCTTTTAATTAGTGTACAGTACATTGTATAATACGAACAATACACTTATGTTTTTAATTTTTCCTTGAGATAAAAAGTGAAAAATTAAAATGTATTTTTATAAAAAATTTTTTTTTGTAAAATTATTATAATTTATTTATTCATATAATTTATTCATATATTTATAATTGTGACAATGAAACAATGTTCAATCAAATAATAAAAGGATAGAAGAAATTTTGATAATTATTACTATTTTTCACTATACATTTTATTATAAATATTATAAAGGTTTACTAGGAATTTGTGTTAATAATATTTTAAACCTTTTCTTTAAAGTAACTCTGTATTGAGAAAATTTATCATCAGGTGAAAATCTAGCCGGATGAGCAGATTTTGTCACTTTGCCACAAGGTGAAAATTTCTTTATTGTATTCAGTCCGAATAAAAAAGTTATTTGTATTTAAGAATTAAAACGAAAAAAAATCAATGAAAAAATAATTAAATTATATAAATAAATACCTTAAGAGTATAAATTCGATTATTGTTTTCATCAAGATAATACATTAAGTGCATGTTTTCGTAAAAAAAATTTTTTTTGCTCTAATTTTATTTTGTAATTTGGAAATCGAAATTTTTTTTTGATGATAATCGAAAAGTCGGTCATGAATAGGCGTCAAGAGCACGTGACTTTTAAATTTTAGAATACATTAAAATTATATTGTGAAAGAAAGAGACACAAAAAAGAAAATTTATTCTAATAAATATCCATGCTAGTTTGTATTGAAGGAGCTGCGTGTTTTCTACTGATCTTCCACTTTAAATCTCTTAAACAAATGAACTGTCTACTTTTTATGTCATCGTTTTGTTGCAAGTGCAAACTTTGAAAGCGATTTTGTTAGATATTAAAGACGTGTCATCTTCCTTTTCTTCGTTCTCAGGGCCTCTTTGACTGCCGATATAACTTCATCATCATTAAGCATTTCTCTTGTTTCCAATATATTGTTCACACGTTTTTTCTGAGATAATAAATGAATGATACAACCGACTAGATAACTACGTGTTACTAAAATAGTAATGATGACCTCTCGCTAAATGCAGATATCACGTGAGACCGACTTATTGAGAGTCATCCTAGATTAACCGAATTATCAAGAGATTTTAAATATTGAAAAAAGGCCTGTAAAATTTTGGCCGAGTTAGGCCAAATCCGAGACTGACTTATCGAGTTTACCTAATACTGAGATAATTTTTGGGTTTATGCATTTGCTTGATTTTTAATGTAAAAATATTAATATCTGCTGCTTTCCAGATTTTATGCTGATGGGACAAAATTATTTTGTATTGCTTGCAAACATGTAGTAGGCCATAAATGAAAGTTAACAATTTAGAAAGTAATTCTCTAAAAAAAAAATCGTTAGAAGCAAAAAAAATTTATACAAAATTTATTAAGAGCTGACATTGAAAATCCTCCTTTAAATCAAAGTATGATTGATTTATGTAGAATTCAAAATGTATAAGAAGAACCTTAAATACCAACATTTTCTCAAGCCTTTCAACTTGCCTACAACAAATTATGTAAACATGTTAATAGACATTCAGAATTACCATTTTTTAAACAAATTCAATGCTTTAATCCAAAATTTATCAGAGCCTCTTCATCTCAAAAAAAGATTCATATATCAAGGAATTTATAATCCAGAAGATGAATTGATCAATGAATGGAATATTTTTTGTGGAGATAATGGATTTTTGGAGGAAAATTTAGATTCAAATAAATATTGAACAAATTTTACCAATATTTTTATAGGATTGTTTTAGAGTATATATTGGCTTCCAGTGTCTGAGGTGGAGCTTTTCACATTACAAAAATATTTTAAGTGATAAATGACATAATATTCATTAGAAATACTTAATATTTTATTGATTTAAAATTATTTGTTTTAATAAAAAATAAATGGCGCATAATTTGTTGATGTTTGTTGCCGCATAAATCCGGGAATGCATGAACGAAATGACGTTGACCGTTGTTGGAAAACCTACCTCGGTTACACGACAAGGTTTAAGATAAGATTTCCTTATTTTCTACCGATCATGGGGGTTCTGGGTTGGGATTCGTGTAACCGAGGTAGGTGTGGTAAGAGTATTCCCGTTGTTGTTGTAAATATAAAAGCTTTCATGTATGCTACTTGCTTGCTATCCCACAAGGTACTTTTACATAATTTTAAGCCATAGATGCGTTGTGGTTTTTCAAAGACGCCTTCGCATAAGAAACATACCTAAAAAACAACAGATCAAACAAGACAATAAAACAACATGCTCGACTAGTTTAAGCCTCCATCAGTAAATATTAGGCAGCTACATTTTTGATATAGTGCTTTTTTAAGCCTTGCTGCATGATATTTAAACGTGATGAGAAACCATCATTGCCATAGACAATGATGGTATTATTATCCAGAGATCCATTGACCATTTAGATGTCATACAGAAGAAGCTTTAATAGGATATTCAAAAATGAAATAAATCCCAAATGCAATCAATTCAATGTCCCACTCCCGTTGTTGCATCATATCTTGGGAGTTTGAGTCGGATTAGCTTTTATTACTTTAGCAAAATGAAAGTTAAAATGATTGCAATACTTGATAAAAAAAATAATATCAGATGCCAGATGTCATTATTTGAGAAGAGATAATATACACAACTTCTTCGCGTGACTTTGTCACATGACCATAAAGTTATTTTACTAAAAAAAGGATGTACATATATATATATACTTCATATTTTATTTACTTTGCATAAAATGAGAATTTCAGAAATAATTATCATTTTAATTAGATATTATTTGTTTACCTTCTGTCTATATCAATATAATAATTATTTTACATATTACTTTTAGTCTCCCAACGTTGCTTTGTTTCAAATCTAAAATTTGTGATAAATAAAGTTTTATTTCTAATTGTTAACATAATTTTAATTACCAAATGCATTAAAAAAGAAAACATTAATTACCCCCATCTTAATTTCGGTTTCTTTTTTTTAGCTTTGAATGCTTCTTCTCTCTAAATGTAAAAATACATTGTTAAATTTCAATAATTAAATATTAAAATATTAATAAATAATTTTATTCAATAATATAATATTATATTGCTACCTCCTTTGCCTCGTTGTATTCTTTTCTTTCAATTGCTTCAGAAACTATAGTTTCATAATTTTTTTGTGCAATTTGATCACTTATTTTTGTCGCAAGAACTAAATCTCCATTCTCTACAGCTTTGTCCAATTCATGCTCTAAAGATCCCTATGAAAAAAAATTTTTTTTTTCTATTGATCAATAAGTTATTTTTTAAAAATTTCTCTAATAATAGTTACTTTTGCGTTTAGTCGACCGTGATCAACGCCCTTCAAATGTGAATTCAAATGTACATATTTATGTAAACTCTTTGGTAACGGTGATGGTTTTAATGGTTTAAAATCTTCTGTTGGTGATATCGATACTATGGGTTTTGATTTATCAACGTTGCTATTTTTTTTTAACAATTTCTCATCCTGTAATCGATCACCCTCTATCAACATGACCATAACGAATTAAATTTAATAAATAATTAAATTTTTTTAGATCAATAAAAAAATCGCAATTATTTTATTTACCTCTAGGTTTTTTATTTCTTTTCTCATCAGAACTGTCACCATATTGTTTTATTTCTTCTCTACGTCTTTTTAATTCTTGTAAACGATCCCACTTGTCTAATTTAAGTTTTGGTTTTTGTATTGTTTCTTGAGTATCTAATGATTTCCCGATTGGTGCTGAAACTTTTTTCCTTGGTGTAGATCTTACATAAGACATTTTTAAAAAAGAATTTTATTTCTTGTGTAACTTCTATGTATGAAAATTTTCTTTAAAAAAAAAGAATTAATAATTTATATGTATATTACTAATTAAAACATCTAATTTGTGTAAATGGAGTCTTTTTCAAATTTTAACACCTCTAGTTCTAATGAAATGGATCTTTATTATGAACAATTTAATTTCATGCAGCTTGATACCCAAACACAAAATCAAGATTCAAATAATGGAAACAACATCCCTGAAAATTCATATTCACAGCCAAGCTCAACTTTATTATCGTCGAGTATTTCCCCTCAAAACCATAATTTTGCTCAATCTATGGCTAATACCACCTTTTCGTTATCAAATAATATGTTAGCAACTCCAGAAGGTTCGGATAGAAATGTTTGTGTCGAATCTATTATTATGTCGCCTTTTGGTATGATGCCAAATTCTGGCAGCTTGGTGGTTAATAGTCATTATGATAATGAGGTTAGAAAAATACTCTAATAAATATTCATATATACTATTTTTTTATTAAATATGGATTTTATTGTTTTAGAAAAATATATAATTAATGATATTTTTAATAACTTACTTACAAGCAGCTTGTTTATTGTTTCGTTCCACCAGAGCTTCTATCTCCAATAACATCGCCAATTCTACCACCAGATCAACCAATAGATATTCACACAAATAATTCAACAAGAGGTAATCAAAAATCAAGATTATACAATCAAACAATCAACAGCTCCAGGTTTCAATCCATTAGCAAGCCGAATGGCCACAATACTAATTTAAGTCAAACACAAGGGAGAGGAACCTCTTTTTTTAATAACAATAATCACAATGTTAAGAGTAACAACAATAATTCTAATTTATCTAGTATTATGGCCGGCTCACCATGCCTAATGCCTAAAAACGACGATTCAAGAAAAATTGTTTCCCCGTTAAACAACAATTTAATCAATTCAACACAATTGAGTATTCAAGATAGTATGCCTAATTTAAATTTGGGTATGAATCTTGTATCAGAACAATCAACATCACCTATTCTTCCGCTCTCCTCTTTATCAAACAACTCTTCATCTAATTCAAATGATATTTCTCCAATTACACCATCATCGATCATGCAATTGAAAGCAAAGCAATTATCATCCACACCATCCACATCAACCAAAGAACAACAAAACGACAGCAATAATGACATCACTATTAATAATGAAAAGCAAAATTTACTTCCAAAATGTCAAAATTCAAGATCAAAAAATCAACAAAAAGACCAACAAAGTAAAAGTGAACAATCCATTAATAAGCCGACAAAAAATATTGCTCCACCACCACTTTCGTCCTCATTAACTCAAATGAGAAGCGTTATGGTAACAAATGGTGATGTGGGTCCACAGACCATGATGGTTATTTCTCCAACTACTTCACCAATATCTCCTATATCATCCATTACACCTGGAAGGAAAATTGTTCGTAATTGTGCATCACCAATTGCACTTGGGCCTTCTATCCACTCTAAAAGCCCTCAAGCTCTTAAGCCAACAATAAGTCCAAATTTAAAACCAAAATTGCCAGGTGTACTAGCTGATGAGGTTGCAGAACAATTGGCTGAAAAATCAAATTATCGTAGTATTTTGGAAGGAACTGCTCAGTACGTATTATATAAATAAATTTCTATAATTTATTAAAATCTTCAGCTCTAATAAATTTATCAATAATATTTGTTTTCAGATCCCTTGGAATCTCCTATTCTTCAGATGTTCATTCAAGTTTAGAGTCTAGGCGTACAACTCATAAAGCTGCCGAACAGAAAAGAAGAGATTCATTAAAAAAAAGCTTTGACGAATTAAAAAAAGTTGTCCCATTAAATTTATCAGGAAATAGTAACGATACTAACAGCAACAATAACAATAATAGCAGCGACAGCGTTAACGTTGATAAAAATAATAGTAAAAGCGGTGAAAATATTAATGTTACAACAAAAAATGTTAGCAAATTATTTTTATTAAAAAGAGGTTAGTCTTGAATTTAATTACAAATGTTTCATATGTTGTTAAGATTACGAATTTTTTTCATTGAATTTTTTCATTTTAAAAATAAAGCTCATGATCATATTGTCGAGCTTCAAAGAGAAAATGACGAGAAGGATGATATGATCAAAAAACTTCAGTATGAAGTTGAAAGCCTTAAAGGCATAAAAAGGCAAAAAACAGAGGAAAAAATTGAAATATTTGAAAACAACGGAGATTTGAAGACATTTGATAGAGAGGAAGATAAAAAAAAGGAGGATGAATCTAGTGATGAAAATAACAACAAAACCGAGAATACAGATGTCCAAGACAATCAATCAAATGAAAAAGAAAAAACCAAAGATCCTAAAAATGAATAAATTGAATTAAATGTTTTATATTATGATTATGTTAAATAATTATTAATTGAGAAAGCCTTTTTTAAATTTTTGGTTTTTCGATGTCAATATCAACAAGTATGATTTAATTTAAATAGATTTACTTAGATAATTTTCATCAATACAAAAAAAAAAATACATTATTATCAATAAATGATTGAACAAAAAAATTTTGAATTTTAATTTCTTTATTAATATCTTTATTATTATTTATTATCATTATCACTATCATCATTTTTAAAGCTATGATATTTATCATTATATAGTCTCAAAAATTAATATTTTCATTTAAATTAAAATTTTCTCTATAGAAAAATTATTTTTTCATTTTTTTTTCAAAATTAAATTATTAATAATATAGATTGATGTCTATTAATTAATAATATAATGATTAATGATGACCAAATAAATTATTTATTTATTTAATTGTTGAGATACTGAAAATTAATAACATCATTCTGCCATTTTCATTATGTGCTAATTACATGTTAATTAGGTCATGACCAGAGTTTTAATGAATGATCTGCTCCTGAAGATATTATCCACGGCTGAGTGGGATGAAATTCACAACACAAAACGCCTGGACATAATAAAGCACAAATTTAAAGTTAAATAGATCACTTTTCAATGATACGTTTTTTTTTGTAAAAGAATTGTGAAAAATTTACCTAAATTGTTAACCGTTTGATGTCCGTTTTTTAAAATTTTTACTGGTACGATCAATGGGTTTTGGAGTAAATCATTATATACCATTCCATGAAAAATTTGAATAGTACCATCATCGCTACATGAAGCAAAAAGTGGCAATCGTTTATGAAAAGTTACATTACGAATGGCCTTTGAATGAAACCTAAAAAAAAAAAATAAAATCGTAAACAATCTATTTTGTTTTTAAAAAAAGTAAATGCAATATATATATAATATGCCTTAAGGTCTTGTAGGGTCTTGAAGAAAGATCTAAATCGAACCAACACAAACGTTTATCATAACTTCCAACAATTAGATTATCTCCTGTATGTGGAAATACATTAAATTTTTGTATTAACAATATATTTTCCTTTTATAAATTAATAATAATAACTTTACCCATTGGATGAATATCTAAACTTGATATCCATTTCGAGTCAGATTGTAATGATTTGATTAATTCCTGTTTCAATAAATCATAAACTCGAACAAATCTTTGGGTCTACGATATAATAAGAATTCAATTATTTGTTATAAAATATAGAATAGTTAAACTCAAGGACTTTGAGAAGAATTAACATACCGCTATAAGAAACAATGGTTTAATTGGATGAAAAGATGCACATTGAACTATTCCTTTAATTTTTTGGAATGGTTGCTGACTTTGATGTTTTGAAAGATGATGAATAATGACACCCTGATTTCCAGCTAGAATTGCCAATAATAATTGGTTTTTAATATCTATAATTATTAAAATTATTAAATATAATAGTAAAGACACATACCATCTGGTGCCACAGAGAAAAAATAATCTCCTTTACGATGCCAATTAATCTGTTTTATGGTCTGTTATATAATTTTTAGAAGAACAAATATAAAGGTTTTATTAAATTATAAATTGATTCAATAATAATAATAATAATAATTATTATTATTATTATTATTATTATTATTATTATTATTATTTTCAAACCTTGTTGTGCGAATGATGGATAATAGCCAGAAATTCCTTATTATGATTTTTTTCAGCTGGTTTAATCCATTCAACAATGTTCCTTTTTTCATCTATTCAATATTTTAAAATTAGATCAACTTTAAATTTATAAATAACATAATCGGAATAAAACAACATACCGTTTTGTTGAAGACTATCAAATCCCAATATAATACTTTTGACAGTAAATTCTGTTGTTTCTTTGTCAAAGATGTCAGTTGGTGAAATAATTAAAATTTTGCTTGTACTTTAATAGAAAATTATAGTAATACAAATATATGTAAAATAAGTTGAGAGGCGATTTTGATTTTTTAAAACATAAATCAATAACTCACTATGATACCGCTAAACATTTAATATCTTTATTAGGGCACCATGCAACTGAATGTACAACATCTTCTAAGTGCCATATTTTGACACAACGACCTGTAATTATTTCCCATATCCTAACAGTTTTATCATCTGAACCTGAAACCATCCATAATCCTGTTGGATCAATTGAAAACGTACGAACATATCCAGTATGAGCATCATAAGAAATGGTTAATGATTTTGGGAATGGTTGCAAATCTTTAGGATTTGGAAGTTTTGGAATTAATGACTCTGGATCGATATTAAGCTAATAAAAGCATTATAGTTAGCAAAACGTTTTAACAATAATCATCACATAAAAACAAAGTACCTTATTCCTTCTCATACGTGGAGCTAAATATAAATCAAGACATCTATTGAATCTTTCTTGGATGAACCGATTGTAAGAAGGAACAGATCTAAGGTTTTGATATCTGAAATATAATTATAATAAAGTAATTAAAAATATATGCGAATGATAAATTTTTTAAGTATTTATTTGTCAAAAAAAAAAAAGAAATACTTTTGGGGCATATAATTTTTCTCCCTATCATCTGCGTCAGTATTATTCCAATTCTCCCTTTCTTTTTCTGACAACAAATATTCGGCTGGTGGATTATAACTTTCATCATGTTCAGGTAATTGTGTTTTGGGTGCAGGAAGATGCATTGGATGGTCTTCACGTGGTTTATCATTATCGTTCCACAAGTCATAAAAACGAGGCTTTTGAACTGGTGTTTTCCCTGGAACTATACGTCCTTGACGAATGGCACGTACTATTTTCATGATCTGTATAAACAAATAAAAGAAAGATTTCAAAAAAAAATTTTTTTTTGATTCACTTATTGTTTATTTAATGACAAATAATCACATAAAATGTACAACTTACACGTTTTGCTTCCCATTTTGAAGGAATAAACCGTCTTTTGGGCTCTGGAGTTGCACTTAAAGGCATTATTTCAGGTTTACTGGTAAACCATTCTACAGTTGGTTCATATGGATCATAATTGGGGTCTGGAAATTCGCCCATTTGAATTCGACGAATAATCTCCAACTCCTCATCAGTCAATTTAACATCTTGTTGTGATAAAACATCTTTGACAGATAACCTTTTTTTATTTAGAAAAATACATCAACGTATTAATTAAAAATAAAAAATAAAAATCAAATGCAAAATAATCTTTTACCATGTATCAGGGTCTTCCATATTATCCAAAAAGTTATCCAATTCATCACCTCTAGCAGGTTTCATAATTTTTTCCCCACCAATATCATAACCGATGTGTGGATAATCATCATACCATTCCATAGGTATATTACCAACAGTATTGACTGGCTAATTGAATTGAATAAAATTAATTAACCAATTAATCAATATGCTCATGAAAATAATAAAAATCTCCAAATGTCATTACTTGCATTTTCAGTAGAAGAATCACTATCATATACAGGATCAATATCTGCCATCCTTTTCTTGTTATAATCCATTATTAGTTTTTTCTTTTAGGAATAAAATTGATCTAAAATCCAGATTGTAGTACAGAAGCCAAAATTTTTAAAAATAGATTTTTATATAGAAAAATGTATAGAAATTTAGCAGTAAGGACAAGTCGCTTTGGTTTTAATTTTTGCAAGCATGGATCTATTTACAACCTTAAGCATCATAAATTTGTACCAACTTTTTCAAAAACCAGCTTAATAAGAAATGTTTCGAATCAACCAAACGATTCTTCTAATGGAAACACCCCACCATTAAAACCAGTTCAAGATAATAACAAAACTAATTCTGATTCTTCAAACACCGCGAAAGAGATACCTGCATCTACTGTCGCTAGTGAGGAAACTGAGAATAATAGACAGGCAACTGAAGAATCTCATTCACAGCCTTCTGAGAATAGTCCAACAGAAAATGTTGGAGAGCTTCTTTTGAGATCACCGAGACGTAAACGAAGCACGACGCGTCTACGATCTCGAGCGTCCAAACCAATAAACCAGTATAAACCAGTGATACCACAGTTATTTTTAAAAGAAAATTATCTTTGTTACAAAGATAACACTCATTCATTTGATAAAATGTCTTATCCTCTGGAAGACGGTATTCGTGATGAAATCATATACAGTGCACGTGCTAATCTATTACCATTACCAAGGAGTGATACAGTGCCTGCACGGAGAGGCCATTTATTGTTGAATTGTCCAATAGAAGGTGCATCATTTTATTTGGACGCGGTTGTTAAAAGTGTTGCTGCTTCTCTACAAGCCGATCTGTTGACATTTGATAGACAGGATCTTATGGAGTTAACTGCAAGCATGTTTTCACGTAAGGGTAATGGTGAGATATTCTTTATTATTTAATGTTAATTTTTGATGAGGAAATTGTTGTAATAATAAAAAATGACAATGAGTAGGTATTTTTTGACAATACAAAAAAATTTTTGCTTTTATAGTCACACCATGGCCATTGTTTCCTGAATTGAAAGGATTCAACCCATATATTGCCGCCTCACCATATTCCACAACATCATCGTTTTCTTCCGAAGATGAAATGGATGACGATGTGTTTATAGAAGAAGAAGAAGGTTTCGAATCGTCACCTACAGTTTCACGAAATTCTAATTTTGAAAATAAAACATTGGTTGAAAATTTTCAATATAATTCTACTCAATCTAATGGATCTTTACGCACAGAATTGAAAGTGATTATTGAGAAAGTTGATAAATTTTTTGAGGCTTTGGTATCCTCTTCTCCTACTTGTGCTGAATCTACATCTACCTCTTCAAATTTACCATCACCACCCAAAATAATATATTTTCGAGATGTTGGAGATTTGGTTCCTACTACTTTTGGTTCGGCGATCATCAATAGCTTAGTTGATGCAGTACAAAATCAGAGACATGCTGGTGATCAAATTATGATTGTTGCGGGTTATTCTCCATCTTTATTTGCAATG